CGGATTCCTAGAGAATGGAACGTATCTCTATCTTATAGGGGGGTCGACTGTAAATAGCTGACAGCATATTTAAATAAATTTAGAATGTCTCTGAGAATTGGATTTAGTTTCATAGCATTACTAATAAATTTTGCATTCAAACTACAGTGGGTGATCGGTGAACGAACATAATCCGTTCCAAGACTTTGTTCGTTCGTTATTTGAATTGTTCATTAACTGATTATCGATTTACCATAAGTTTTTATGGGAATTTGATTAATTTGTTCTGGAGATCCCAAAAAATAAAAAATATATACTTTCTTACTACGTTTATTTATACGTAATAATAAAAATACATACATACATACATACAAAGTCTTGCACTTTTGTTAGTCATGTTTTTTCCATTTGTGGGAGTTAAAGAATCTGTCTAATGTCGATTGCTTTTCTCTCTTAGAAATTTTTAGAAATAATTAATAGCATTGTAATTGTAGAGATCCCCAAGCCTATTAACCTCAACCTGGTTTGGATGCTATTTTAAGACTGTTGTTTTGACATCCTCCCACTTCTTCAAAAGATCTTTAATAGCAGATATCAGCATTAATCCTCTTTTTCAGAAGAAAACATATCTCGCCGAGTTTCTTGGTGTTCTTCTGTCGTCAGTCTGTTTCAGGTTCAATAAGAGCTCTTCAATGTTCTTTATTTCCCAGATATGATTTTTGTTACTCCTTAATCTGCTTGAGTCTTCTTGATTATACTGTATCTTTCTTAGATAAGATTGAACTGTGGCCTACTGTAGACCTGTTCAAGCCATACTGACCAGCAACATCAGATATCTTCTGCTCACTCTCTACCTTTGCTACTATACTCTCACCTTTTGAAAATAAAAACTGACGCAAAACTTAATGAGTGCCTGCCCGACAGTCTCACGAATATAATAATAGAATTATTTCTGTCAGAAAAATAAAAGGATGGAATTACAAGGGAAAGTTCAACGTTTGGAGGAATACTATCTGATCAGTATATACTGAGTGGAGTGTCGATGTCAACTTCTCCTGCACTCTGAAAGTTTCAAATTGTTGCCTGAAGAAAAGGGAAGACCAGTTGTTTTACATTGCTTCTTCTTGTGTTTGTTCTGTGAGGTGTTCGTTGTCTGAACATAAAAATCTTTTGCAAACGTGTTTATTAATCATATACAGTGGGTGATTGGTTGTCATAAAAACATTTGACTGTAAAAGGAAACACAAATTCAAGGTGCACTTGAGTTACAATTTTATTAGAAAGAAAATATGGTGTATATTCTCAGATTACAAATTTTGTTAGTCTTGCTGGTTTGATTTTTCCTATAAATTATTGAGAGATTGCCAAAAAAATTATTAAATAGAGTTTTGATGATTTTTTAAAAATTAATATAAATATATGTAAGCTGTTTTTTTTTCAAGCTCTGATGATCCAAAAAAAAAAAAAAACAAAGACAAGTGTAAGTAACAAAATGAATTTATTACCAAAAGTTAGGTACAAACATGGTTACTTTTCGACATAATCACTGTGAAGATTGAGGCATTTATCATGTCTGTGGATGAGCTTTTCCATCCCCTTGTCAAAGAATGTTGCCGCCAATGACTTGAGATGGGCCCTAACATTGTTTTGAAGATTGTCATTAGTCTCGAATCTCTGCCCTCCTAGCCACTTTTCCTGTTCAGGAAAGAGGTGGAAGTTGCTCTGTGCTAAATCAGGACTATATGCTGGGTGTTTAAAAGTGGTGAAGACTTCCACCCAGCTTAAAACTTTTTAATGTGAGAAGACATCCACCTTTTTCCTGAACTGAAAAACTTGGCTAGCAAGGCAGAGGCTGGAGACTAATGAACTAATGACAATTTTCAAAACAAGTTGTTAAGGCCATCTCAATTCACTGGTGGCAACATTCTATGACAAGGGAATAGAAAAGCTCATCCACAGATATGACAAATGTCTCAATCTTCATAGTGATTATGACGAAAAGTAACCATGTTTGTATCTAACTTTTGGTAATAAATTCATTTTGTTACTTACACTTGTCTTTGTTTTATGGACCATCGGAGCTTGAAAAAAAAAACAGCCCTCATACAATGAATACACATTTCATGTAAAATTTGAAAAATTGGAAAATGAAAGTATAAAAATGATTATATTGACACAAAATACGTTTTCTTCCTTATTGCCTTTCAAGTCGCACAGGTGTTTATCCTCAGTCAAAATGCACAACTTTCAAACATTCTTGCTAGCTAACTTCCACCTAAACTGAATTGTATTTTACAATTAGATATAGTTGAAGAAATAAGGTAATCTTTCAGTTTGTCAGAGCTTTTTGAATGACTGACTAAAGTTGCAATAATTGTGCAAGTATTGCAAAAATTTGTTTCCAACATTACTTTTTTGCAGAAAAATGAACCAAGAATATGAACTTACTGTATTGAGAGTATTTTCTTGTGTCAACCAGCTTTCATTTAACTAAAGTGACTTTTCAATTAATAGACATATTTCATTTACATGTAGGGATAGAATCCTATAACACAGTTCAAACAACTTTTGCCAAAAAATTCATGTACAAAGTCTGCTACACATTTATCCTTTATTTATGACATGTTTGGCTCATCCCACACCTTAGAATAAAAATTAACAAACTGTTTGTTTTTGTTACCTTTTGTCCTCTCCTGATGAGAGCTTATAAGGCTGAAACATGCCACGTCCTATCGAGATAATGGATTTATACCAGAAGTTTTTGGAAAATCTTAGAGATAATTTGAACTACCTGTTAAAATAACTTTAAACTTATAAAATGCAATAAAAAACAAGGACATTATATTTTTATTAGTTGCTAGTAATTTAGTGTACATTAATTAAAATTTATAGCTGATTTTAGTGATTTACACATGTTGCAGCATTTAAATTTTATGAATTAGCTACTATCTGTAATGTTTTTTTTTCTCAATTTTCAATTTATTTAAAGCCAGACAAGAAAATTTAATTTTTTAAAATTTAAAGTTCTTATTCTTTTCATTTCATAAAATGCTCCTTTATGGAAAAACTTGTATCAATAAAAACAACAGGATCAAATAACTTTCAAGCCTCCTGGTTTGTCATCAGATATTGCCTAATTAAATACAACAAAGTTAAAACGTGTTATATGCCATATTTAATGTTTATTTCTTTAAATTTATTGTTCAAATATTTGCATACAAGAATTATTACTATAGCAGCATTGCTTTGGAGCATTTGGACCATTTTATGATGCACTAACTTTTCATGAAAATTTGATTGGCAATAAATATGTAAATATCTTGAGTCATTAAAGCTATTCAAAATATTCATTGTTTCAACTTCTTGGGGCTGGTCTCAAACTGCAGGTCTGTGATAAACACAGAACCAGCAGTTTCACCTATATATACCCCGTTGACATTTTATCATTTGTTTGAAATGTGTGTTATATGCAAACTGAAGTTATGGTACATCCAGACAAATTTTTTATTGCTGGAGTCATGTAGACCTTCATAAGCACTCATATCTGCTAAAAATTACTGTTAAGGTCTGAGTAATTTGAAATTTTCATTAATATATTTGATCTAGCACACTTTAAAGTCTGAACATTAATTTATTGTGAGAATCAGACTAGTAATACAAGTTAAAGGCTTCTGTATCTTTGTTTTGAAAATGAAATTTGTTGTTTGAGATCCTGATCAAAGGTCCCAATGAGTACATAGTTCAAAAATGGATGGCTTCTTTGCTATAAGCTTCCAAAGTGTACCATTCATACCATGGAAATAGCATATTAAAATATTTAAGTACTTTCATACTGTTACATGATAAACTGATGCATAAATGATCAGCACACATATTTGAAACTGTTATCGGCATCACCCAGGATTAATGATTTGGACACAATGGAAGTCGGGTTCCCTTTGCTGCTCACTTTTAGGGTGTATGTATGAAAGTACAAATCATAATACCTAAAATGAGGTAATAATCTATGGTTCATCAATTCCAAACTTTTTCCTGATTAGTGAACATTATTTTTCTGCTGTATGATTCACAGAGTTGATAAGGTCAAGTCCAAGCGGCACTATTTCAAAATTTCTCTTAAAAAAAAATCCATTTAATTTTATGTACAAAGCAATCAATTTCTGCATTATTAGTAATTTAAATTGTGCAATTTAATTAAATAGTATATTAAATAGTAAATTTAAAATAAGTAATTAAATTCATACACAAGCATCTGAATTTCGAAACACATTTTACAGATCTTGACTGGGCTCTGGAAGTTTTATAAGTTCAAGAGCTCATTTTTGTAATGTGCAGTGATCTTGTCACAGTGAAGGGAAGGGATTGTTTGATAAATCTAAGTCCCTGCCACAGCGCTCTCTTACACATTTCAAGATTTGTGAATAAGCTATACGATTATTTTTCTGGAAGGAAAAAATATTCTCTATCAGCAGATGAGACTAAAAATTTCTTCTTCTTTTGTAACAGTGAAGGAATAAATAAGTATCTAGTCATCTACCAGTATTTTAATAATTGAAATAAATAAAAATTTTATTAGTTTAATTTGTTAGTATTAATGTTTAATTCAGAATTATCTTCTTGTAACTACATTTTACCAACCTTTAACACACAGTCTATTTTATTAATGTTATCTTCGTGTAAACTGGTATATGGAATTATATTTTCAAGTGGAAATATTTTATTAAATTGGAAGTTTTTGGCAGTCCTTGGATCAAATCAATAACAAATTGGACTGTATTCCAATCCCAAGAATGGCTGCCCAGTCAGCAGAAAACATTTCATTTAAATGAAGAGTTCTCTAGTCTTTTATAGCAAATATTTTATTAAGACAATAATTTTATAGAATAGTGAAATTCGGTTTACTTTCCATCAAAGTTATACTAGTAAATTAATTTTAACAAAACTAATTGTGCCCTCTCCATTTTAGTAATGAATGTATGTGCTATATTTTGTAACAAAAGTGTTAATTTTTAATTTTACAGATTACTTTCGTGAAAAGCGAATTATCTGCGGAAGAATGTTTACAGTTGGGGTTCCATCGAGCAGATCTCTTGTGCACGTCTTGTGATTTACTACCTAAATTTAACTTAGATGTTATTAAAACTAATTGTGATTTATGTTGTCAACAAAGTGGTTCCAAACAACCTATAAAAGTGAGTGAAAATTTTATCAGTGCCATTCATTTTAATTATGATAAAAAATCACTTATTTTTTTTATAGAAATATCCTTTGGCTAGACTCGAGGTATGCGGATGAAAAATTGGACATTACCCTCAGATCCAGGGTAAGTAGTAATAAAAATAAAACACTACTCTCTACACGTTCTACATATAGCACACTTAATTTTCTTTTTTTCATCAGCGTTTGTAAAAAGTGATCGCCCAGATCAATTCCCCGGACTGACAATACAGTATGTCAGGGGAGCAGATCCAGTCATAAAGATGATGGACGACGAGGGTAATGTTCAGGAGGAACTAAGCATCCAGAAATGGGACACGGATACCGTGGAAGAGTTTTTGAGAGAACACTTGGAATAAAACTTGATTTTTTTTAACACAAAATCGACACTTTCAATGACTTCGCCAAACAAGTGAAGGCTCGATAATAAACTCATAAACGAGAACGTCGAAGCCGGATGTACGTTTGAGTGTAGGAATGAAGTGTAACGATTAATAAATTACATACTTTTTGATACAGTTTTGCAATATTTTGTGGTACTTAAACCTTTATTGTCACAAATTTTATACAATATATATAATATATATACTGTATATAATCGTGCAGAGAACTAAGATCAGCAAGCATGAATAAAAACTGAAGAATAAAGTTCATATGTAGGAATTTGTATAAAAGTTAAATGGAAAAAACACATCCATTTCATCCAAGCAAATTTTTTTCTTTTTTTATAGTAGGTAGAATTTCAAATACAAATAAAAATTCATTCTTGGTATACTGGTTACAAAATTATACATTTTAAAACCACGGAAACTTTTCCTTATTGATGTAATCACAACTTTAATTGGTCCATTTTCAGAATAATTATTTTTCTTCTGAATATTTAAAAATTCAACTCAGAATTACAGATAATGCAATTTTTTTTTTTTTTTGAACCTGCATCTGAGTTTGTTTACTTTTGCAAAACACAAAGTTACAAAACAATATTCCCTTAAATTGTTTTTACACTGAATCTCTTAAAGTGCCCATTAAAACCTATGGTGAAAACAAAAAAAAAAAGTGGAATTCAGTTATTTACAACTCAATCTTAATACTACAAAATTACGAGGAATACTCTTCTCGTACACCTAGAAGAGGAATTTGGAATGATCAGAGTCAATTACTCTCTTGAGTAGACTAATATACAGAAAATAAATTGTGGGTTGCAACAATATACTGAATGGAAATTACTACTATAAAAATGGATTTAAAAGAAAGTTTTCACAAAAGCTAATTTTTTTTTAATTTTTAAGAGTAGCATCTCCTCTGAGTTAAGTTTTGTTTGAAGTGTCTTTTAAAATTCATGTTATTTTTAAATATAAATATTTCTTCCCAAATAAATCCCAGCATAAAAATCATTAAAACATCTGTATTAAATGCACGGACTTAAAAGTTTGAATATGTAATTATTTTTTTAATATACCCTTTAACATGCCGAACTTTCGGTTAATCTGCTGCTAAATCTTAGTTTCAAATGGCACTAAATTCTCAAAGAACAATGAACTCATGACTAGGTTTTTTTATGATTCTTTTTTTCCATCTATTTATTTATATATAAAAAACTGACTAAAACTGGAATGTTCATTTCACTAAGTTCTAAATTCCCATTCTGTTATTTTTCTTAACAAGACAATTTAACTATTCCAGAATCAGTCAAGGACAGCTCAATATACTACTACAACAAGGATAAGATTCTTGGATGGCCCCTTTAGAACAATTCAGCTGTCAAGTTTATGTATATCACAGAGGTCTCCAACAGAACATTGTCACATTGGGAGGTTAACTAAACAAAACAACAAAAAAAAAATCTAAGAAAAGAAACATCATACTTCCCTAAAGCCCAGTTCCTATTCCTAACACTAGAGTATTATGCAAAACTTTTGAAAAATTCACACGGGCCAATGGATATATATTTATATACATATTAATATAATATATAGACCAGTTTTGATTAGGGTGTGGAATTGTTCTGTTATACTGTAAAACAAAAAGAAATTTGACAGAAGTCACCAGACTACATAAAAACAAGCTTAAGTTATCAATACTATTGTTATTTAAAGGAGTCGCAGAGTAAATGCTACTCTAGAATGTGAGGAAGGAATTCTTGTCTTTTTTTTTTTGCACAATATTACTCTATACATAAAATATTTTGATCTAAAAAGATGAACAGGAAAGGACAAGTGGCACAATTTTTAAGATATTTCGGCCAAACAGTAATTCTGCTTTCCGGTCGTTTAGATTATTTGTTGGGAATTGGGAGGGATGAATCCGTTTGTTTGCCTCTTCTCATATTCATATACACCGTTCTGGTTTTGTTCTTTGACCTTTGTACTGTTTTGATCAGGAAACTCTTTGGAAACAAAAGTGGTCCACTCGTTTGTCCTACTGTCGAGAAATTCGACAGTGTTCAAAAATGCTTTACCATTGAAGCCGCCTATGGCAAAAAGACGGTTTCCAACCACACACACCCCGACGTTGGCGCGACAGCTGGTGAGAGACGGTCCTGCGCTCCAGGTGTTGGTCTCAGGGTCATACACTTCCACAGAACACAGAGAATGGATTCCATCATGTCCTCCAACGGCATAAATCTTTCCTGAAAGAACAGAACATTTGAATTTAAAAATGCATTGATTGAGTAGAGGTAGAATTTGTAATTTAAAAATATTCCACGCAAACAACTGCATGGTACAAGAACAATACAACAATCTTAATTCCATATTTAAATTCCTGTCAATGAAAATTTGATAATAAGATGATGGCATTTCAAAATTTTTTGCATATAAAACATTTACATTTAAAACATTTTAGAAAATACAGTTTTAGTAAAATTTCATGACTCGAGCTCTATAAAATTATAGCAAAGTCATTCTTACAAAAATTTCAGCTTGTGATATCAATTAACAACTTTAAGTCAATATAAAAATCAAATGGATTTGATTTACCATTTACTACAAAGAATTCTGCCTTTAACTAGATCAGTTGTTTTCAAGTAGGGTGCTGCAAAATATAATGCCAAGCAGTGCCAAAATAATTCTTATATGTATATATATGTATATATATATATATATATATATATGTATTATTGAAAGTACAAGAACAACAATGATTATGTTGATAAAGAAGGGGTATCGAGAAAAAACAAAAATGCACCTAGTAGGAGAAGGTTGAAAAACATTGAATTAGATTAGATTATCAAACTTCCCATTGATGGGAAAAATCATGATACTGATATAAAAAGGAAAAAACTACCAGCTCCATGGAATAGCTAGCTAGCTTTTAATAAATTTTAGTGTAAAAGCAAGCAAAAAAGCATATCTAAATAATGGAAAAAAGTTTCACTGCAAAATTTGAATGTAAGTTTTCACCTCATGCTCTATTAGTTAAAAAAAACTTAGCAAAACAAACCATCTAAATTCTTCAAAAATATACACTGGAATAGAATACACAGCTGTCAAGAATAATTGTTAACTATCCCAGAATTATTATAAAAAGTTGTGTATTTACAATAGAAGTTGGTTAATTCAGCATCAATAATCTGGTATGCTAGTGTTCCACAAATTGGAATTTGTTTTGATATGTGCTGAAGTCCCCAGAGAGAAATCAAGACAATGGTGAAGATGTAGTCATGCACATTGTTATACATCAAGTGGTCAACTGCAGGATCAGAAGTGGTGTGATTGAAAAACTACTCTTGTTACAATAGCTTGTTTTTGTTGGATTGGATGCATTCAATGGTGCTTTCCCATGCCTAACATGTTTACACCAGAATTGTTGAACCCAATCCATGCAGTTTTTTGGGAATTGGACCCTTAAGTATCATCCAAAGTTTGAGGATTCCAACGTTTTTGATAATTCGGCACCATGTTCACATGGTTGCCAGATTAACACACTTCTGCCATATTATATCAAATTAAATTTAAACTGTTTCTGTAAAATGGAAAATAAATATATAATAACCAATAAAATCTTTAGTATTAAAAAAATTAATATGACGCACACAACAATTATTGTGCCAAATTACTGAATTGCTATATTACAAACCTCTTCTATTTTTATTACTTTGCTTAGTGAACACAATTATTAATTAAATCAAGTTAAAAATTTTAAAAGAATATAAAATAATTTAATGTCAGTCAATAAAACCAGAATTTTCACTAATTTCAGTCTATTTACTTACTCCCATTTGATATTATCCATTGGTTATCATCATCAGTATAAAGCATAGTTTTGAATAATTAAGAATTTAATAACTAATAATTTGTATTATACGTAAAAGAAAATTTAAATACTTTCTAAATCTGAATATTTTCAAATATTAATATTTAAACAACATTTATTACTTACATAAAATTTCATTTCATTACTTATATCTTAAATGCATGACATGATTTATTTCGGTAGATATGATGTAAGTTTGGATTATCATATCCACCCATAAAATATAATAAACCTTTTAAAGTAAATAAAATAATTATAGTTTATAAAAACTCATAAAATAATGTATAATTCTGTCATAATTAAAATATATTTGTCCAAAAAATTACATACAATTCACTACTAATTTAAAATGCAAATTACATTAGTACAATGTAGGGCATTAAGCCGCAGTGATTGGGGTCCAAACTGCTTAACCGTGGCTTAGGTGGTCCACGGATTAACTTTGTAGCATTGTAAGATGTAAATTGGTTACAATGGTGGCCTCCATAACGCTGACGCTCAGCATGGATAAAACAATGAAATTCAAATACAGTATTAATCTGTAACTTATTTTATTGTTTATTGATAAATAAAAGACTAATCTTCTATAAATACCTCTTTGAAGTTATAAGTCAGCATTTAAATATTTAATCTGTGATCGTGCATAGAACATCAATCACGGACATTTGAAATGCCAAAATGACTACTGTCAACACCTGTCTCGAGTGTTTGAGAGGACATGTCCAGGTCCAGTGTCAAAAAATTGTGATCCAAGCTTTTTGTGCGGCTTAAGCAAATTCATTGATTACTGGCTCGCGGCTTAATGGCCTTATACTGATTTTTTAAAACATTTCTTTCAAATTATTTCTTTGGGCTAATTTTTCTAAACAAATTTCAAAACAACCCATAATTTGTAAATGATGTTACTATGTATATTATTATGCAAAAGCCTAGAGAGTTTATATAATAAGAACAGTTAATCAAATAGAACTACACAGTAACACACTGAAGAAGAACAAATGCATAAGACATCTTAGACACAATATTTTACTTAAATTATTAAAACAAATATTGTAACTAGAACAAACCTTCAAGAGAGAGGAGGAAAAAACTTATTAACATATTATAAGTAGTTAAGTATGTTTTTGAATATCTATTTTACTCAATCCATTAAGAGTGCTTTTAGAGAATGAATTGTTTCTATAAAGATTCTTTCAATCAGCAATAAAAATTCATATGTTGACTTTCAACAGAACTAATGCTTTCACATGACTTATTACTCATTAAAATGTAAATTTTCATGTGAAGATGATATATAACTGACAATATTTGAGAGTATGAAAATTTATTAACTTCTGTCTAGACTTTCACATAATTTAATTAAGAAAATTTAATTTGGTATCTTGTTTCAGGACATAAAATATAAAAGAAGAGTGCTAAACTTTTTGTAAAGATTTTTCAAATTAAATAATGTCTAATTTTTCTTTGTATCTTCAGAATTTCAATTAAATTTCCTAAATCATGGTTAAATAATTTTTAAATTTCCTAAATCATGGTTAATTTTTAATATTATCCTAAGAAAATATATGAACTTCTGTCAACTTAAAAGAACAAGTGAAAAAATATAATATAGAGGATGATTTAGAAAACTCTTTAAAACTAAAGACAATGAATTTTTTATATAATTTATACCAAAAATGACAATCCAGAAGTTTCCTTTAAGTTGATTTTTTGATTGAAGTATAAATTTGTTAATAATACTTTTCGTTAACATTAGTTTAATTAATACAGTTAATAATACTTACTTTTAAAAAGATCTCATGTCGTTTTTAAGGTACTGTGAAATAATGAGGAAAATGATTTTTAATTCACAAAAACTACACTTGAGTTTTTTAAAAAGTCAAATTGCCCAAAGGGAATGGAATGTATGTAGCTGTATTCATAATGTCTGGTCAATTTAATAAATTAATCAATACAAAAAAATTATCTTGTTTTTGGGATGAAAATCTTTGTCAGTTATTAACTTCAGCCTGTATCAGTTGCATGGCCATTTTAGTCATTTTTCATAATGGACCATGTGATTAATAGGGCATTATAAATTATGTCAAGTGATTAATAGGGCAATTTATAATGCCCTATTAATCACTTGGTCCGTAGCATATATACCACTCTACACTGGGATATATGTAACAGACATAGAACCAATTTCTAGTGCATATAATACAAAAAATGAACACTGCACAAACATTTTCCAACTCCTGAGCTCTTCTATGAGCACAACAGAACAGTTACCTGATGGAATATTATCAGAATAAATGTCTATTTGTAAAAGATTTTTAAAACAACATAATTTGAACAACCTTTTGAAACTATAAATATAAATTTAATGCTATATTGGCATTGTCATGCGCATAACTCATTCAATTAATGACTATACATGTGTCGAACAGGGCCTGCCAGGCCATCAATAAAACCATTTCCTCCATTGGGTAACTGTTCTGTTGTGCCTGAAAAATTTAGAAGTTGGAAAACTTTTGTGTCATGTTTATTTTATATATATATAAAATTGCTTGTCCTGACTGACTGACTCACTGATTCATCATCGCCCAGAGCAAACCGCTGGACCTAAAGAGGTGAAATTTGGAACACAGTTAGGATACGTCATGAAAACGCACACTAAGAAGGGATTTTTCGAAATTCCCAAGTGGGGGGAGAGGGAGAGCATTAAGGCTTAACCGGAAAAACGGCTTNACTGATTCATCATCGCCCAGAGCAAACCGCTGGACCTAAAGAGGTGAAATTTGGAACACAGTTAGGATACGTCATGAAAACGCACACTAAGAAGGGATTTTTCGAAATTCCCAAGTGGGGGGAGAGGGAGAGCATTAAGGCTTAACCGAAAGAACGGCTTCTACTGTGCTATTTTAGATGCGATTTTTTGTTTTTATTTGCGTTTTAGTAGGGTATGCCATGACAATGCACACTAAAAAGGGATTTATGGAAATTCCCCGCGGGGGGAGAGGGGGAGGATTAAGGCTTAACCGGAAAAACAGCTTCTACTATACTATTTTAGATGCGATTTTTTGTTTTTATCTGCGTTGTAGTAGGGTATGCCATGGCAATGCACACTAAAAAGGGATTTTTAGAAATTCTCCCGAGGGGGGTGAGGGAGAGCATTAAGGCTTAACCGAAAGAACGGCTTCTACTGTGCTACTTTAGATGCAATTTTTTGTTTTTATCTGCGTTGTAGTAGGGTATGCCATGAGAATATACACTAAGAAGGGATTTTTAGAAATTCCTCCGCAGGGGGTGAGGGAGAGCATTAAGGCTTAACCGAAAGAACGGCTTCTACTGTGCTGTTTTAGATGCGACTTTTTGTTTTTATCTGCATTGTAGTAGGGTATGCCATGAGAATTTTAGATTTTTAGAAATTGCCATGAGATTTTTAGAAATTCCCCCGCAGGGGTGAGGGAGAAGATATAGTCTTCATCGAGTACTTAGGTGTATTAAATTAATAACATTTCAGACATTGTTATAAACATTTTTATCTATTTCGATTTTAAAAATGTTCGAACCGTTTTAAATTCGAATTTGTTATTGCATATTGGTTCGATTATAGAACGATTGTAAATGTTCCAAAAAATTGATCAAATTGAAAATAGTTTGTTTGATTCTCTGCAATTCTCTTCAGCGGTAGCTGTTATATAACAATTACTACGGTTATTGAAATATTGAATGTAAATGGGGTTTGCTTGCAAAACCTTCGCGGACGAAGTCGCGGGTAACAGCTAGTATTATATATATAACTCTTCTTTCGTGATGCCAGCTAAGGTATACCATAAAACTGTGTTAGGCCTAACTAAGGCCAAAAGATCGATTTGAATTCCTGATGGACTGTAAAAACAGTATATTGTCTACATTGATTTATCATACTCATCTTCCATCTGGATGTAAATCACTTCTTGCCAAAATGATGTTGAAGTGCTTGAACAGGGTCATTTGTTCAACTAGGAAGATGTACTCTAAATTCAAAGGGTTGTGAAAATTGAAAACTACATGTTCCACCAGGACCCAGCAATGCTGTCTGTTGAAAATGCCAAACTTGTTAATATGCAAGATTGAGATTCAACTTGAAGACACAATTCAAGATGAAATTTGAATGGATATTATGTTTTCAAATTCTGAAGGGTCGTACCCCCTCCTTCCTTTTTTTTTTGGTATGAAGTGATATAGCGCTTCCAGACTTTGTGATGAAGATCTTGAAATGTGGACCCACATTTACATCCTCTCCCCCAAAGCTGATACCCACTGCTTCATCCCAGACTTGAAGACCCTCCTGCAAGGTTTCCCAGATAGACAAAAGAGTATTACTATTGGATGGTGACTTTAAAATGCTCTTGCTTTTTTAATCTTTAAAATGTTGAAGCTAAGGGACAAACTTCAACAAACTGTTTGTGGGATGTAAGAAAACAAGGTTACTGTTGTCAAGGCCAACAAAACCAAAGCTTTGGCTGTCTTGAAATGAAAACATATACACAGTGCTTGCAAGAATACATTGAACAAACACAGTGTGAAAGAGTTGATGATGGATTCATTGACAAATTTTAATCTAGAGTTAAGCGTTTCACCCGTACTAAGCTACCTGGATGCATGTTTCTATGTAACATTGTTCTTGACTCCTCAGATGTCTTAAGGTTGTTTGAATTTGCCAAGATGCACAAATAAAGGTAACAACTCTATCCAGTAGTGGACAAAGCCAGAGCATCCACCAAATTACTGGAAAAGGTTTCCACACCCTTCTCACAGCTCAATTAGAACCTTTCATGATTACAAGTTCAATGGAGCTCATACACCAACTAAAAGTTTGATGGAGGGGTATAGAAATTTAAAGTCACAAACAGTGATGTTCTGGGGAAGTTTGCCCCCCAGTACATCACTGTTTGAGACTTTAAATCTCTATTCCTCTCCAAACTTCCACCATGTTTTTGTGCACTTCATGATATGTTATTTCATCTCATCAATGATGACAGTCTCCATCAGCACGTTCTAGAATTGGCCCACTTGATTTGTTACAATTCAGTCTTTCAATTTAACGAGAGTGTACCATCAGGGAAGGAAGTGCCAATGGGTAGCACAATATCAGAAAACCTATGCAAGATGGAGATCCAACAATTAGAGAATAAGGTACATGACTCCCCAACATTTTTGTTTATGGGAGGTACAAAAAATAATAATGTCATCGATGTAAGACTGTTCTGGATTTGAGGGTCTCTGTCAGTTTAGTCAATAAGAACCCATAAGGGTTGGTCCTTGAAGTGGAACAATCTAGCTCCTCGGAAGTGCACATCTTGGACATCAATGTCACTATAAACAAGTTGGAGATTTGCATCTCGGTATTTCACAAGGTAGGTTCTATGTCTTCATACGTCCCAGTGGTGTCATGTGATCCTCATCATTACAAGATCACAGCCTACAAAGCATTGGTTAGGAGGGCTTTCACTCACTCTTCTACCCCAAGCACTTGATGCTGAATTAGCACAAATAGAAGAATTAGTCATTGCTCATGGTTACTGAACAGTAGTACATTGATTAGTGGATCAATTCCACCAGATTCTTCCAGAATCCACACCTAAGATAGACATCCATTCTACACCATGGTGTGAAGGTAAAACAGGTGTGTGTTACCTTCAATCCCTTCCAAGTTCATTATTTGCAAAAATTGCCAGGAAACGTGCAATTAGTATTGCTTTTTGGAGGTGCCCATCTATTTTCATCATTTTTTGAAATGGAAAGGACCCTCCCAACTCTAGCAGACTTCCACAGTGTTCCCTATCAGACACACAAGATGCAATAGGGACCTTCTGTATATCAGGTCCACTAAACATTATGAGAAGGAGAATACAAGAGCATATCTCAGATGTGCAACATGGCAGAACATCTACAGCTCTATGTATACAGCAGACACGGAAATAGTTGCAGACTTCACACAGGCCAAACTCCTCACAACATTGCACACTGAACATCTCATTGTTGGAGGCCATAAAAATTTTTAAAGCTAACTTTCAGTCATCTTGTATAAATTTTAAGAAGAAAATGGTATTGATGGCCTGGCAGGTCCTGTTTGACACAATGTTATAGTCATTAATTGAATGAGCGTTATGCACATGACAATGCCTACATAGAATTAAATTTATATTTATAGTTTTGAAGGGTAATTTAAATTAATGTTGTTTCAAAAAATTTTTACAAATAGACATTTCTTCTGATAATGTTCCATTGGGTAATTGTTCTGTTGTGCCTGAAGAACAACTCAGGAGGAGCTGGAAAACATTGGTGCAGTGTTCATTTTTTGTATTATATGCAATGACAATTGGTTCTGTGTCCATTGTTACAAGTGAAGGAATGGAGACTAACAGTAATTACCACTCAAAACAGATTAGGAATGAGAAATACAAATTAAGTGGTAATGGCAATTCATAGCTAATGATTTCCTGTTTTTCTTAAATATTTTTTTATTAAAAAAATCCATCAGTAAGAAAAAAACCTAATTTCAAAAATTAAATTGCTACTGAAATTATAAAAATAGAGGAGATTTGCAATATAATATTGTTTTTCCTTCATTTAATTCATCCAGTCATTCAATTCATCACTATAGCTACCCTATAAACATTCACACACAATGTATATAAATATTAATGTTAATTACAATTTTTTTCTTTTTCTGAAATGAATGATTATTAGGGTCACAAATATTAGATCATTATAATTGTAATGCTTTCAAGCATTAAGTTGATTATTATAGTCAATAACAAATTTTAATTAATCTGGCATTAATTTAACAAAATCTGAATTGTTTGGATGTTGTTTTCCTTCTTATTTTGCTCATATTTAGCATTCATCGTTAACAACACTTTAATAATAAAGTTTTTAATTAACACTCAAATTTTAAAGAATTAAATGTTTTTAAAAGTTACAAGTTACTTAGTGTATTTGCATTAAGTTCATTGTCAACAACAAAAAGGTGGTGGCAACTTTTACACAAAAATGGATTTTTGTGTAAAAAGTTGCCACCATCTTTTTGTTGTTGACAATGATCCATTTCCAACTTAACTTTATATTGTGCAATATCAGTGAAATAATAGTTTATGTTTCCTTAGTCCTAACTAATTAGAGATTATGGAAAGTAATTTGGAAATACATTCAAAATAATGTTGTATTGATACTTAAATATCATAATCTTAACTTTATAATGTAATTCCAAACACATACATTTAAATTAAAATATTAAACACTACAAAAAAAGACCAAACTAAAAGCAGTTCATCAATTTAGGAAAAAAGCAATCTAAAATTTTGAAATTTCTGCACATCATCTGTAAAGCCCTAAAAGAAATAACTGGTTAAATAAAACAAGATGCCAATACTTTCAGGCATGTGGTCATGCACAGTTGCATCCATTGTAGGCAGATAGATATATAAAGGATCAGCCAATATAAATAATGAATAGTTTAGTTCAGGATTATTGTTCTCCAAGATAAATTTTGAGGGAACTTGGATCCTCATGGTAGGATAATGTAATATTTTGTAGCACAATCATTTAATCAATTAACAGGAATGACCTTATAAAACTAAAATTAACCAATTATTTTCTGGCTGTATTCTTTTCTTGTCTCAATGGTTTGTTTTCATTTTTAAGAAATGTTACATTAGTTATAGTTATACTATCTGTAAATTTAAAATTATGTTGGAAAAAATTACAGCAAATAAAAATTGTTCAAACTATTAACAATTATTTACTTTAAGGAATTCAAAGTTCTAAAATGGAATTTACCACATGCACTGGAAGTATTAAATTTTAAGTAAACAATTGAAATAACAAATGAACACCATCTAAAGACTTTACTGTAAAGAAAACACACTAACCATTGAAGACAGCCACTCCACAACCACGGCGAGCAGTATGCATATTGCTAACCATAGTCCAGGTATCTGTGTCGGGATTATATTTTTCAACAGAATTTAAACAACTCCAAGATTCACAACCGCCAATAGCATAAATTTGTCCATTCAGAGCCGTAACACCAGGTTGATATCTCCCTGATAAAATAATAGTGTGTTAAATAAATTTTTAAAAAATTATATTGATAGAAAAGATACTCACCCACAAGAAGGGAAGCAATAGTATTCCATGTTTCTGTGGCAGAATCAAACACATTACATTCTGTGACTCCTTTCTGACCATTTATACCCCCTATTAAATATATTTTACCATCCAAACTACACACACCTGAAATTTTTGTAATTAATAAACAAGTTGATGATAATTTTATTAATTTCATAAATTTAATTAACTAATTTACCAGCATTTGATCTTGCCATTGGCAAATAGGGAACTAATTTCCATTTCATATTAATAGGATCATAAATCTCTGCAGAATTCAAATCTTTTGTACCATCACATCCTCCAATAGCATAAACTTTATTCGAAACAACAGCAATATTAAATCTTCCACGAGGAATATTCATTGCTTGAAGTAAAGACCATGTATTTTTTTCTAGATCATACAATTCAACAGTTCTCAAGCATTCTACACGATTATATCCACCTTTAAAAATATATATGAGATGATAAACATGATAAATCTTCAAATCTCACTTTTTATTTACTTTATAATACTTACCACACACAAGTAATTTTCCTTCTAATTCAGCTGTTCCACCAGCACATCTTGCAGAACTCATTGGTGGAAGTAAAGAATATGTATCAGCCTTTTCAACTGATGTATTTCTTGAAGTAGGTGGGCTACTACAAGGAGTGTTGAGACGTTGAACAACTGATAAAACAATCAACTTACTAGCTACAACAGCTAAACCAGTAATCACATGTTCTGTAAAGTAATTTATAAATTAAAAAATTGTAATTTTTTATTATTTTTAAAATAAAAAGTAAGATATAAGATAATTAAAAAAATACAAAGCTTACCACCATTTTGAACAGTTGCAATAACTTTCCAATCCTTCTCTTCTCTATTTTCTAGATCAGATGGTGAGCCAATTATAATTTCATCTTTAGTGTATAAAAATTCTGCTGGTTTTGCTGGAATAGGAATGGATTTTTTACTTCCAGCTCTATGCATTGTTGGTGATATCTTACGTGACATTTTCTTATAGTCTTGAATCAATTCAGAATCTTTACTATCACCAGTTTCAATATCACTGCAGTCATGAAGTGTGTGATCCAGATTTAAATACAACATATGAACCTAGAATTTAAAGTTTATCACTTTACAAATAGTCAACAGTAATTAATAAATTTCTATTTTTTTGCCCAGAAGCAGTTGAGTATCATCACACTGCTCTGGGGACCAAAATAGAATCCAAGCAGTCAAGCTCCAAGAATAAGTTGGAAGTCCCATTCCTTGCACTACCTGGACCTCATTGTAACCTGGCTGAACCCATAATAGGCCTGATAAAAAGCCCATGTAATGAAAGGAATAAAAATAAACAATCATTTATAAGTAATTAATAAATTTCAATTACCTTTTCACTTAATCTTGAAATGCTAAAATTTTCTCCAGTTTCAAACATTTGCTTTATCCAATCCAAAACCATGTTACATAAATGTTTGGTATTAGTGGCTTCTATTTCTTTGTTGCTGTTTTGAAGTAATTCTACTTGTACCAATGGCAAAGATCTCAATACCTTACTGTTAACAAGCTTATCCATCTATAAAGAAAACAAATTATTAAATAAAAAATTACATATCTTAAGGGTTCCTANGAACAACAATGATTATGTTGATAAAGAAGGGGTATCGAGAAAAAACAAAAGTGCACCTAGTAGGAGAAGGTTGAAAAACATTGAATTAGATTAGATTATCAAACTTCCCATTGATGGGAAAAATCATGATACTGATATAAAAAGGAAAAAACTACCAGCTCCATGGAATAGCTAGCTTCTTTTAATAAATTTTAGTGTAAAAGCAAGCAAAAAAGCATATCTAAATAATGGAAAAAAGTTTCACTGCAAAATTTGAATGTAAGTTTTCACCTCATGCTCTATTAGTTAAAAAAAACTTAGCAAAACAAACCATCTAAATTCTTCAAAAATATACACTGGAATAGAATACACAGCTGTCAAGAATAATTGTTAACTATCCCAGAATTATTATAAAAAGTTGTGTATTTACAATAGAAGTTGGTTAATTCAGCATCAATAATCTGGTATGCTAGTGTTCCACAAATTGGAATTTGTTTTGATATGTGCTGAAGTCCCCAGAGAGAAATCAAGACAATGGTGAAGATGTAGTCATGCACATTGTTATACATCAAGTGGTCAACTGCAGGATCAGAAGTGGTGTGATTGAGAAAACTACTCTTGTTACAATAGCTTGTTTTTGTTGGATTGGATGCATTCAATGGTGCTTTCCCATGCCTAACATGTTTACACCAGAATTGTTGAACCCAATCCATGCAGTTTTTTGGGAATTGGACCCTTAAGTATCATCCAAAGTTTGAGGATTCCAACGTTTTTGATAATTCGGCACCATGTTCACATGGTTGCCAGATTAACACACTTCTGCCATATTATATCAAATTAAATTTAAACTGTTTCTGTAAAATGGAAAATAAATATATAATAACCAATAAAATCTTTAGTATTAAAAAAATTAATATGGCGCACACAACAATTATTGTGCCAAATTACTGAATTGCTATATTACAAACCTCTTCTATTTTTATTACTTTGCTTAGTGAACACAATTATTAATTAAATCAAGTTAAAAATTTTAAAAGAATATAAAATAATTTAATGTCAGTCAATAAAACCAGAATTTTCACTAATTTCAGTCTATTTACTTACTCCCATTTGATATTATCCATTGGTTATCATCATCAGTATAAAGCATAGTTTTGAATAATTAAGAATTTAATAACTAATAATTTGTATTATACGTAAAAGAAAATTTAAATACTTTCTAAATCTGAATATTTTCAAATATTAATATTTAAACAACATTTATTACTTACATAAAATTTCATTTCATTACTTATATCTTAAATGCATGACCAGAAGTCACCAGACTACATAAAAACAAGCTTAAGTTATCAATACTATTGTTATTTAAAGGAGTCGCAGAGTAAATGCTACTCTAGAATGTGANGACTTAATTAAACGTATATATAATAAAATATATTAATTTAAAAAATTAAAAAACTATTGGAGGTCGTTTTTGACATCAGAAACTAGCTTTAAATAACTTTATCGAAGTAAAATCCGTGCTCTACTACTTTAGAACGATGAATGAAATTTGATAAAAAAAACTCCCATTAAAAAACAATTAAGCGTTAATCGTGCGTCATTAAAGGTATATTAAAATCGCAATGAAATATTTTCGCGCGGGAAAAAATTTTTGAAAAAATTTGGAGACTTAACATCCAAAAATCCAAAAAAAACAAAAATTTTTTCGGAGGGTCCAAATGCCCGAGTTTTATGTAACGCTATGGAACTTGCCCGAGTTATCTCGGGTTTTAAAGATTGCAGCATTACTTCTTGCCGCCTGCAGATGGCTGTGATTGGTCATCCATATTCAGCAAACGAGATCAACAATGCAGTTAAGNACTTCCGACATGCTCAAACAAATTTATTCATAAAAAAAATATATGTATTACTTATGCAATTTTCAGGATTCAAATTCTTAGCCAGAAATTTTCCACAGTTACTTGCTGCAGATGACATTCGCAGTTTCTTTGCAGTCATAAATATATCTCTCACTTTATCCCGAGGTGCTTCCAATCTTAAGAAAAAGGTAAAAAGCTTAGTGAAATTTTTATTATTTTTTATAATATGGATTTTAACCAATTATACCACAAGTAAGAACAGGTTATATTCTTGCTTTAACTTCTAATATATCCAACAAGTTTTTTGAGACTAAATGGATATATACTAACCTGGCAGTATAAGCGTAATCAACAAGACATTCAAATGCTTCCACATTGAGATCGCCATTCAACTTATATTTGTGAGTCGGTCCAACCTGAGGTTCACTGGAAAATAAATCCAGTAGATAAGGGCTTGCACTGGCTAAAACAGCTCTGTGTGCATGGATTGCATGTATGTCAGGTTCTGATCCAACCTATAAGAGAAAAAGAAAAAAAAACAAAAAAGCAAATTTTAAATCTTGATAAAATTACAAAAATAAAAATTAATATTACTACTACCTAAAAATCTCATCATAACCTACATTTTTTACATCAGCTTTGTCTATGCTATCTAATGAAAGAGATTATTATATTGTATAATAAATCCTGAATATTAGAAATTTTGAAAAGGGGTCAAGAACTTTCTTATCTGAATGCCCTCCGCATGCCATGGATCTTATTAAAAACAGACTAATTTATAATATATTTACCTATAATTATTAAGTCTGATTAATGTATGATTGGAAAGTTATTACACTTTCAATCACTTCCTAAATACCACTGTTTCAAGGCAATGATGTCCACAACTTACTAGCAGAATGACATCACAAAACTGCCTGTTACGTCGCAACTTGTTCAGGCTCTCCAATGTCTTTGCTAAGTAGTCATTATCTTCAAACAGAAAATCCTTTTCAGCTTGTTTCTTCATACTATTCATTGTTCTGACAGACCAAACTTCTGTCCCTCCGAGTTAATATTATTCCATATATAACTAATGAAAACCTAATAAAATAAAAAAAAGAACCTATTAATTTTCAAAAAATCTTTAAAAATTATCATCTTAAAAAAATTTTATTTAGGAAAAATTATTTGTACATGTAATATTTATATAAATAGCAAACAATTCAAACAGTTCAGTATTGTATTTTATGGAAATTAAAACATTAATTATTGTATATTTAATACATTCTTATTTTAATTTTTAATTGGCAAATGATTATCTCTCTTGAAATCTGGTAAACACAATCTTAAAATTAGTAAACCTTATCTTCTAAGCTTCAAATAATTAATAAAAAAACTTTGAAATTATTCAAAATAACAAATCTGGATTAAGTAAAAGAAAATTAACAAGCACAAATACTTTAAAATCAACTTTGGAAAAAGCAAATTACATAGATGTTCATTATATCAGAAATTAACTGAAAGTAGGTAATTATACCATTGCAAGCAAAAAAAAACATCTAAAATATTCTATGGTTTATTATTTAAGACAACAATTTATTGTATCATGTTTTACACATTTAAATTACTTATTTATATTCATAGAGTTTCTAATTTTGACATTAATCTAATAAAACTCAAGTTGACACTAAACTAACTATTTTAACTGGACTGGCTGTAAAAGTCTGATGTTTTTTTAAAGTACTTTTTAGTAAACAACAAAAACACAACACCAGGGTGTAGTAAACAATGTACCCTGTGAACTTTCTCTTTTTGATTTTTTCATTGCACACTGGTCATCTGTTCATAGGGTACATTGTTTAAAGTACTTTTTATCAATTATAATCAATTACTAAAAAAATTAAGTTTATAACTTATTCATTTTTCTCTACAATTAAAATTTGCACAAGATATTTATATAAATGTGTTTTTAAATTATCTTATATCCTTAATTTACTCTTTAGATAAAAAAAAATTTTTTTTCTTTTGATAAACAAGTCTTCACAACATTCTTCAACAGAATTAACAACTATCAAAAGCAAAAATGTACAGTACTTTGTATTAAATGGCAAATCAGAATTAATAAATACAGTGAAACCTCAGTTTTTGTTGATCCATCCAAAAACAATCAGCGAAATTGACGAAAACCAAGTCAATTATTTCCATATGAATCAATGTAAATCCAATTAATTCATTCTAGACACTCCAAATACATACTAAAAACACATTTTATAGAGCATAAATATTGTGTGTAATACATAAAACAATAAGAAATTAATATAAAAGATGAATGTAAAATATAAATGAACATTTAACATGGCATTCAAAGGGCTGCTGGCTTTGGAAACTTTCTTTGGTCACATGATAGAGCTAAAAGAATGGAAAGCAATGAAATTGTTTTGCTATAATGCACAGGGTAATGCTCATACAATAAGAAACAATGCCACACTGAGCAGGAAAATGCATGGGTCGCCGCCGCATGTTTTCACAAAATTAGCAGTAGGTCATTTGGGCACATGACAAAATCTGAGGCAACCAATGAAAGCCAAACCAACAATAACCAAAGTCAACATAAACTGAAATATTACTGTAAATTTAAATTTTTTGAATTGACTTTAATGATAAAATGTAATATACAGAAGAATCCTGTTTTAACCAACTGTAGAACAACAAATTTCTCAGAACAGATTTCCACTAAATCAATGTGATTTTACCTTCTTTAAGCAATCTGTAACTCAGCAGATTTTTTTCTAGACCCATCTATTGTAAACTTCATGTTTTTTCAATATATATTTAATATTTCAGTATTTCCAATAATTTGTAGAGTTTGATGATGCACTTGTTACATCTGGGATATGTACAGTACAATACAATTGAAAAATTACACAAAGAGTCAGCAGGCCAATACAACTGAACTTAAGCCACTTGAACGTTTTGATGCTTGTCCAAGTGCAATGCCAAAATTTAGCAAGGCCATTGAGTCTTTTCAAGTCATGAAGATCTTTCTGTCAAAATTTCACCATAAACAAACAGGCTGTACATGACATTGCTAACATCAATAACCAACATCAAATACAGAAAAAGATTAATTTTTAACCATAATGAAAAACTATTTTTAACCACAATGACAATTATAGAAAGAATTTTATATTTGGATAAAACAACAACTGAATACCAGTAGTTGGCTGCAGGTAATAGGGACCAATTTTATACGTATAACTCCAGTCAAAACAAGTAATTTTATACATTAGCTAATTTGCACATTTTTTTATAGATATCTTCTTATAAAACTTTTGTGCAAATTGGAAAATTTATTTGGAAATACATATTTTTGAGAGTAAAATCAACACAATAATCTCACTTAAAAAGAATAACTGGTTTAAATTATAAATTAATTCATTTAAACATACTTGGTATGACTTAAATTTTAGTGAAGATTATTTGAGAAACTTTAATAGCAATAATAATAAATATCTTGTTTAAAATATTAAAAGAATAACTTCTTTAAGCCTTAATTAATTCACAGATGGAATTACACGTTTACACAATAGATTAACAAAAATAATTCATCCATCTATTTAGTATTAATTAGAGTAATTTACATTTAAGTATTATAAATATAATTTTAATGAACAAGTTTCAAAACAATTCATTTTTCTTTGTAAATATTATGAAATTTAAATATTTAAAGCAAACTTAAAAACTAAAGATAAAATACTTGATAATTTTTAAAATATTTGAAGATGCTTTTAAAGTTCTGTTATTGGAAGGAATGTTTAAATCTGTTTGCCTATTCCTGCAGTTTTTGGATATTGTGTTTACACTACAAAATATATTTTAATTAGTCAACCATGATTTTTATTACTCATAATTATTCTGATGATGATATGATATATATTATAAATAAAAAAATATTTAATATGTAAATGTCCTACTTTTGTCACAGGAATACAGACTCAAATCACAACTACAACATACTACATTTGCAATACAGTAGGCCTTCAAATCAAACAACTAATGGAAAGGTATGTCCACTTTTGCCAAGACTTAACTTCATTATTAATATTTTTAAAATGCATTTTATATATAAAATGAGTTAAAATGTTGTTTTGACATAAGTATGAATAAAATAACAATACACATTGAGTAATTTATACATGTTTTAGTAAAATGTTAATATAAAATAGGCTTACAACAGGAGCCAAACTTTAAACATGTCAAAAACTATACAATGTAACTACCAGTAGATGTTTTCACCATTAATGCTGACTCACTGACCTAGCCTTTTACCATGTCTATTTGAAAAAAAAAAAGTTCTACATTCTTCCTTTAGGACAAATTTTCCTTTAGAATAATTTTTTGTCTGTTAAACTGAGAGCCTATCTGTATTTTTATATATTTTTATTAATTCAAAATGTTCATATAATAATAATTTATAGTTGTTCAACATAATCCTATCAGTACAAAACATTAAATGTAAATTTAAATTTGTCTTGAGTAAACTTTAAATATATCAATAAAATAAATAATGATTATAAAACATTGTTTAGATTATCTTTATTAAATAAAAGCCCTATCACACAAAATGTTTGCCATCAAAACTAATGTGAACATACACCGTAATTGAGATACTCTTTCAAACATTAATTTTATGCACTGAGAACAGCTATAATTCAATCTTCATGCCATGAAATAAAGAGTGAGTTTTATTATAGGTTTATATAAAATTTACACCAAAAACTGATTTGTGATAGCTTAATGTGTTGTGTTGTTTTTTGTGTGTTATGTACCATTTCAGATAAATATCCAAATAATACCACCACTTAAATATGACGTTAATTGTGTTTAACATGTTTAGTGTTTCCTGTAGTTTTATAATAAAACCAAAAATTTAATTAGAATTTTTCTAACATCTGTTGTTTTTCTGTGACATCTGAGGCATTTGAAAATATATAACAGTACAAAGTATAGTCTAATATAAATACTTTGCATTAAATTATTTATAAGGATTTAGACCTGTCACTCAAATTTTTTTAATAATGAAGGACAAGGATGCTTGAAATGAGGGACAAACTATTTCAAGGAACAATCTTAATATTTAAAATCATTAACAAACGCAAAAATTTACAATTATTATATCAATTGTATTTTCTGTTTTGGTAAGTTTAAAATGTATGTTAAAATACAATATTTAAAATCATTAACAAATACATTATACTGAAAATTATTATATATATATATATTGTATACTATAATACACATATTATAACATAAATTCAAAATAAAACATTGGATGCAGTACCTAATAAAATGGTTTTAATACAGCTGAATAAGTAAACCAATGACAACTGTTTCATTAGAAAATACAGCTGTTATAAGCAAACCACTGAATCACAGTTGCCATTAATTGATTTTATACATGGATGTGTTTTACACCAAGAATTATTAAATTTAAATTTTCCTTGCTTCCATTTTTGTTTGTTTTCTTTTTGTAGACTTCAACTGCTCAGGCAGTGTGCTGTATTTATCACTATCAGAACCACTCATGGTTTTTCAAATTATTTTTCTCTGAATAACATATGTTAGAGAACCAAAGATCACACATTAGAAAGCCAAATTGAAAATTTTGTAGGTTAGACTTTTAGACATAAGAGATTGGCCTTTCTTTAAGCTGCCATTCATTGCAATAATTAATATTGAATCTTTTATATAAATCTATCTATCTTTTTAATGTGTGGTAAGATCTTGAATCCAAATAAGTTTATAAATATGTATATATAGAATTGAAAAAAAAATCTTATTTTGCAGGACTATCAACACAAAGGGAAAGTGGGACAGTAAAGTAAAATGCATGGGAATCTGCAAATTACAGGACAGCTGACAGATCTAGATTAACTTATATTGTACTTTTGAGGAAGTTAAATTAATTTCTAACAGTTTAATTACAACACAACTGACATCCTAATCAACTGTACTCTATAAATCAAGACAAATTGATTCATGTTGTCACATCCAGATATGCATCTAATCTAAGGATAATGTTTTGTCAATTGTATTCAAGA